AAAAAAAAAAAAAAAAAAAAAAAACCACACACACACATACACCCATTGAAGATTTTATTCCATCCTGTCTGAGAAGGGGGTTAAGTGGGGTGTAAAAATGACAGTAGCCAAATGCCAGTCATGTTATAGCCGAATTCATACTATCATGTTACATATTACTTTCTAAATATATATTTTTTGAAATGTATTTTCTTCTTTAGATTTAATGTTGTTTATTTCAGCAAGTTCTCTCTCAGTTCAGATATGCATCAGGTGCCCTGAGGACAGACCCAAAGGTGGATGAGTGGTGGGAGGAATGTGTTTAGAAAGAGTTTTCAGATTAACCAATGCACCTGGGTGCTAGGGCAGAGTTGTAGAGAGAACCTGATTGGAAGTGAATCCTGAGAGATCAGTACTTCTGGTCAGGAGGACACGACAGAGCATCCCAGACAGAGGAAATGTGAAGAATAGTATCAGCACGAAGTGTGCCATTTGGGGTGGAATTGGGCCAGTGGCTTAGGTTTATTACAGCTGATACAGAAGTTAAGTGAGCAGTGAGGTATAGCTAGCCTTCCGCCAAGCGAGGATTCAAGCAGGGAAGGGCCATGGCCAGCTCTGTGTGTTGAAATTATCCCTCCATTGGCAGGGTGGATAAAGGAGCAGGTGGCTAGAAGGCTACCGGGAGTGCCAAGATTTAGAAAAGGAGACATGACCTTGAACCTGGGAGTATAGCATGGGGATGAACACATATATCATCATTTTATGCAAAATATTTTCTAAGATTGCAGGGTATTCTAAATAAAAACAGAAGATAGGCATAGGAAATTTGCCCATTCTTCTGACATTTTTAACCTCAGCACAATTCTAATTTTAATTTCTAAGTGTCTTAGTCACTTCTGTCATTGCTGAAACACCTACAACTTGAAGGAAGAGTTTATTTGGCTTATACTTCAGTTCACAGTCTAAAGGCTCCAAGGTAGGATGGCATGGCAGAAGAGAGCTGCTCACAACAGGGCAGACAGGAAGCAAGGAGAGTAAAAAGAAGAGCCAGATAGGGAGCACAATGGCCCACTGCTTCTGACCCGACCCTACCTCTGAAAAACAAATCAGCTATAAGCCCTCATAAACCAACACCTTCCAAAGTTCCCATGTCTGAGCACATGAAACTTTGGAGGACATCTAGATCTAAACTATAACATTCTACCCCTGGCCCCCAAGAGACTCATGCTGATCTCTTTATGTAAAATTCATTTAGCCCATTAAGAATGGCAAGAATCTTAACAGTTTCAACATTGCTGAAGATTTCAAATTCAAAGTCTCCTCTCAGATATAAGGCAAACTCTTAGCTGTGGGCCCTTGTGAAAATCAAAAGAATGTTAAACACTGCTAACATACAAAGATACAGTGAATGAATAAGAGAATAGAAACCAATAGGACCAAAGTGAGACCAAAACCCAGCAGAGCAAACATTAAATCCTGTTGCTATAAATCCAGCACCCAGGGTAAACTGCAGTAAGATGTAAACTCCAAAGGACTTGGGGTGGCCCTGTCCTTATGGAATTTGCAGTGGTTGCAGCTCTTATGACTTCTCTCATGGGCTGGATTTGCTCACTTCTTGCAACTTTCCTCAAGCATCTCGCGTTCCCAGCTTCTCCAATCCCTTGGAGTCTCCACTGCACTTTCGGCTTCACTCTCATAGCTTCACATGCTGCCCTCTCATGGTCACATTGCCTGGCCGTCCAGACCTTTTTATGAAGTCTGGGTAGAAGCCTCTCTGATCCCATAATTGTTGTATTCTGCATACCTGTAAAACTAGACCACAGGGATGACACCAAGGTCTGTCACCAGCTCAAGTAGTAGCCAAGCTGCCTTGAATTACAGCTGCCTCTGAGTACCTGGATGGGTAAGCACTGCTACAAATCCCAGGGAACTAATTCTGTAGGTGGCCCCAGAGTGCCCTGGGGTTTTTTCTCAAAGCAAAGCCTTACAGCCTTTCACCCTTGAACATACAGAAGGAGAGAGTCTTGCTGATGATTCCTGGCATGCCCTCAAGACATTTTTCTTGTTGTCTTGATCTAAACTACTTGGCTTCTTTTCAGCAGCCAAGTTCTCCTCTGCTTCATCTTTGTGGATGTTCTTTTTCTGGCAAAGCTAAAAACTTTTGAAATGGGTTTTTTACTCCTGTTTCTTGCATTAGGTCTCATTAAAAGTAGCAAGCACTAACTTCTATGAGCTGCCTTGAAGTTTCCTCTGCCAGATTAGTTAGTCTACTGCCCTAAATCTCAGTCTCCTGTAAAGTTGCAGAACATGAGAAAAATGTAGACAAATTTTCTGCCAGAGCATGGCACACATGGCCTGGAGTCTAACTGCCAGTGGAGTCCTTGTTCCCATCTGAAAACTCCTGAGGTTGGCTTTTTCCATCTGTGTTTTTATCAGCACTCTGTTCTTCGGAGCACCACCCAGAATCTCCCATTAAGCTCAGTTTATAGCATTCTAGGACTTGTTTAGCTAGCATCTCCAAACCTTCCCATAAGCTGGTTCCAAAGGCTTAGTGTCTCAGCAATGACCCTACTTCTCTGGTATCAAAATCTGCCCTAGCCACTTCCCTTATGTCTGGGACAAAAGACCCAATATCTACAATTTAAAGGAGAAGGAGTTCATTTTGGCTTAGGTTTCAATCCATAGTCAGCTGGCTCCAAGGCAGGACAGCATGGCAGAAGGGCATGGTGGAGGGGAACTGCTCACAGCATGGTGGACAGGAAGCAGAGAAGAGCCAAGAAGGGAGATATAACCTTCTTGGTCACACTCACAGTGACCCACCACTTCTGACTAAACCTTGCTTCTTAAAATCAAATAATGCCCCCAAAGTTCAATCACTCTCCAGAGGTCCCATCTCTGAGCATGTGAGGATCTGGATCTGGGAGTCATCTGGATCTAAACCATAACAATAAGCAAAAAAAAAAAATTTTTTTTTAATTTTTCTTTAAGCATAATCAGCAGTTTGGTTCATTGAGTCATTCATCTCCCCATATGTACAGTTTAGACTCTGAAGTCTGGGACCCTTTATAGATTACATAGCTAAATCCTATGTAGTATTCAGTTACCCCATTGACATAATTTTTATAATTTTTTGTGCTTTTTTGTTGCTTTCATAATCCACTCACCTCATAAATGCTGATTTAATCTGCTTTCCAAATGCCATAGCTTCTGCACCGATATTTGCACCTGTAGTGTCACATATCCTTTCTATTTTAAAATACTCTTCCCTCTCCTCCCCACCCACAGGAGGAAGCTGGTCTGGGAACTGGCATAGGTGATAGCTTCACTTCTCTTAACTCTGTGTAGATTTCATTAATTACATCCACAAAAAGTAAATCAAAGAAGGGCCTCTGGGATCATCTGGCTTTGAAAGAACTGATAAGCATGGGTTGGCAAATAGGTTAAGGTAGATTATTAATAAAACACCACTGTGACACAGTACACAGATGAAAGATTGATGTCATCACTGTGCTATATTATATTACTCTACTTTATATAAAGCACACATCCTGGCCAACCATCAAGCTTCGGCGAAAAGCCGTGGGCCAGAAACCAGTAGCAGTTTCAGTAAATGGGATCACCTTGTACTATGGCTGTGAACCATGGTCACTTAATTGTAGCCTGGAACACCTTCTTTTCCTAGTAATTAACTACTTTGTGTTTTGTTTTGTTTTGTTTTGTTCTTTTTTTGCATTTCCTACCCAAGCCTGGCATCTCCTGTATTTTCACAAAGGATGGTTTGTAAGGAAGGCATTGCCCTTGCATAGGCAAACAAGCCTTTATCCTTTATGAACACAACAGTTACTTCCACTGCTCTGTCCATCTAGCACATCCTGTGGGGGACACATTGGTGCTCCCATGTACAAACCAGTGTTACTTACAGGCTCTTAGATGAGTTTGCAGCCATTCCCAGTGTCTCCGAGAGCAGCAGGTTCCAGTAACGGAGTGACGTTGACAGTGGTGGCCCATCTTGTCAAGGGTTGGGAAAGCAGCCAGCACTGAGTTTGATAATAATGAAGCTGAGGGGCTGGGGATTTAGCTCAGCGGCAAAAAGCACCTGCCTGGCAAGCGCAAGGTCGTGAGTTTGGTTCCCGGTACCGGAGAAAAACCAAAAAAAAAAATAATGAAGCTGACTTTGTCAGGTTAAAATGTGTTCAAAATGTATCACATGCATTCTTTTTATTCTTATGAAAATAATCCACATTGAATTATTTAACACCTTAAATTTAAAAGCTTTATCTAAGTATGTCATGGTTGATTTCTGAAGCCAATCTGATACAGGAAGCATGTGTTAATAAATGGGAAAGGGGATGAATCATGGAGTGAATGGAAGGTAATTTTAAAAAACCCTCATGTTTATGCTTAGTGTATAGAATGTGTCAGGAAAAAGCTTAAATAGGTTGAAAGCTTTGTCCAAAGAACATGGAGAAAATTGACCTCCCCTGTCTTTCTTTCTCAGATACATTCCACCATTGATCTGGGGGAAAAGTGGACACATCCAGACGGCTTTGTACGGGAAGATGGGACGGGTGAGGTCTCCACACCCTTACGGACATCGGAAGTTCATCACCATGTCCGATGGAGCCACATCTACATTCGACCTCTTCGAGCCCTTGGCTGAGCACTGTGTTGGAGGTGAGCTAGTTTAGGTCGCAGGAATCCCTCTCAGAGAGGAGAAGCACTAGCCAGTGAGGAGCCCCATGAAAATGCTTATGCTACCCTCTGTCCCACGGGCCGGCAGCCTGCTGAGATTCATCGCTTAGGAGCAACCTGCAGGGATTAGCTGCAACATGTGCTCACCAGTCCTGAAGAAAGCTCTCCAGAAAGAATTGCAGAATAGTTTTCACATCCTCTTGTGAAACACTGGAGTGTAGTGTAATGGATGGAGGTGAGCTCGGAGCCCAGGCCCCCAGGATAGGCCTCTGAGTCAACTTCAGCACCAGAGACCAGACTGTTCTAAGTCCTTCATATCTGCTGTTATCCCCTCAGAACCCTCTTAGGTCAGTGCTCTGCCATCCCCACTTTACTGATGAGGAAACTGAGGCTTGGAGAAGCAATATAGCCTGGCTTTGTTGAATAATAGTATATAAAGTATCTCAGATGCCTTATTGCACAGGTTTCCTTGGACAGAGAGACACATTAAGGTCATCTTTACTGTAGACAAGAAAATTTCAATTTCCATTGCTGTTGGAATTGGCATTGTTCTATCAAATCTATACAGTAAACATTCCTTACAAAATGTTTCGGAATAGCCAAGTATGGTGGCACACACCTATAATCCCAGCACTCGGGAGGCTGAGGCAGGAAGATCAGCACAAGTTCAAAGCCAGCCTGGGCTACATAGTGAGTTCAAAACCAGCCTGAACTACATATACATAGCAAGACCCTGTCTCCAAAAAACCAAAGCAGTTAATGCTGAGGATTTTTGAGGAAGAGGAGTAAGGTGCCAGAGTCCTTTTGCATGCTGTTCCTCCCAGAAGAGAGCATATTCAGAGGCAGTGTTTTTTTTAACAAGAGTGTGGTAATTTCTGGAGGTAAATTCCAGTAAATGGATTATAACCTTCAGCTATTTAAAGTAGCTGGAGCTGCTGAATAGCTGACAAAAGTGCGTGCCCCTTGGCCTGGAAGGCTCATCTCCAGACCTTCACATGGCTGCCTACTCCTTGTCATTCAGCTCAGATGTCACCTCCTCAGAGAGAGTCCCAACTCCCCTACCAGGCGTTGCCTTCCCAGTGGACCCATCGGAGCCCTTCCATAGTTCCTCCTGGTCCCTGCCACTCGGTAAAGTCACGTGCGCTGTCGTGTGCTATCTCCCCAGTGGGATGCAGGGACTAGGACAGTGGCTCCCAGCTCATACCCATGGGGGGCATGAGGACAGGAATAGGAGAGGAGATCACATTGTTTAGAAATCTCGTAGCCACGCTTCAAACATTTATTTCCCCACCATACCCACTTCAGTGTTTTTTTTCTCTCCCAGTTAGGACGCTTTTCCTTCTCCTACCTTGGGACCAGAAAATTTAGCCTCATCAGTCTGCTTTTCTTATATACCAGGACCAAAGGGGGAGTTGAAAGGGCAAACACTGGCTCTTAGTTGCATTTGTCTGTGTCTTTCAGTCCAAAGAAAGGACCAATGAAGGTGATTCTGGGGAAGGCAATATCTGTCCCCCTAAAGTACTCCAATCAAAACATTTTTTTCCTTTTTTAAGACTTTTTTTGACTACAAAAGCAATGTCCTCATTCTAGAAAATTTAGACAATACAGAAACACTTTCAAAGGGAAGTAATCGGGCTGGGGATTTAGCTCAGCGGCACAGGGCCTGCCTGGCAAGTGCAAGGTCATGAGTTCAATTCCCGGTACTGGAAAAAAAACCAGAGCCGGAAGTAATCACCTGGAATCCTGTAATCCCGTAAACATGCCATTATTAACATGTTATTCCTTTTCCTTCCATATCTATGCATTATTTTCCAAACTTTGAATTGCTGTGTATTATATTATAAAAGCCCAAATAGCTTCAAAAACATAGTTTTAATGATTGGCTAATAGCATACAATGTGATGTTACCATAATTTAAATTCCTTCTATTGTTGGGCAATAGCTTGTTTATAATATTTTGTTACTATAAATAATTCTGGGCTGAGCACCCTTAAACATAAACTTTTGGGCAAGATTCTAAGACTGAATTACTAGGTCAGCGTTTGTAAAATATTTAAGGCTCTTTATGCATCTTGTAGAATTGTTAAGGAAGCCACATTTTCCCACTAACATTAAGAATTTTTCAATTGTTTTTACCTTAATTTAAAGGAAATTATGATCAGATTTAATAAAATAGTTTTAAAGAATGTATGTGTTCATATTTTCAGGAAGATAATTTATGCTCATGAAAGAAAACTCAAAAGGTACTAAAGACCTACAATGAAAAGAGTTAAGTCTCTCTTCATTTTTCTTCCTATCATAGCTCTCCCAAGTGATACCCACTGCTAAGGTTCTTGTGTATGATTCTAGAGCTAATGGGTGCATTAATAAACATAAGCATCTTTGTTTTCCTCTACATAAATGGCAGCATATTATAATTTTTTCTGTACCTAGCATTTCTTGCTTAATATATATTGTAGAGCTTGTCATATGGGATTATGTAAAGATCTCATTATTTTTAAACACTATATCATATTTTGTCACTTGGATATGCAGTGACTTATCCAACTTGATGCCTATTCCTGGACATCTAGACTGTGTTCACCTTTCTGCCATTACAAACCTACAATAGATAGATAGATAGATCATAGATAGAAAGATAGATAGATAGATAGATAGATAGATAGATAGATAGATAGATAAAGATACATAGATACATAGATCTATAGAACAAATACCTGAAAATAAGATTATTGAGTCAAAGGGGTCAGAGCGGGCACCACTTTTTAGTTTTCTACTCATTCATTTGTTCATTCAGAATGTCATACAGAAGTGATATTCAGACACTTGTATGGTAATTTTATATCTTTTGAATCTAATTGTAAAAATTGAGGTTTATGTAGTTTTATTTCATTTTTCTAAGATTTAATGCCCAATGTATTTTTCAAAAGTATAAATCTGTGATGGAAGTTTTAAAAATAAACCCTTCCCCATAAATAGTTAGGGAAGCACTAAAACAGACAGCTCCAGCTAAAAGAGAAAGATGTCTTTTCCAGGGAATTGAATGAAAAGACATACATTAAGTTCCCTCTTCCTAGCCAGGCATGGTGGCGCATATCTGTAATCCTAGCACTCAGGAGGCTGACACAGGAGGATCACCATGAGTTCAAGGCCAGCTAGGGCTGCCTAGTGAGTTCAAGACCAGCCTGAACTATATAGCAAGACCTTGTCTCAAAAAACAAAACAAAGGAAAAAAAAACCCTCAAAAATAAATAAATAAATTCCCTTTTCCTGGTGTCTAAACCAATGAGGTATAATTCTGTTAATTTATCATACCATAATGGTTGGCTACATGAGGATCTCTTTCTCTACCCCATAGATGATATCACCATGGTCATCTGCCCTGGAATTGCCAACCACAGTGAGAAGCAGTACATCCGCACCTTCGTTGACTATGCACAGAAAAATGGCTATCGGTGTGCTGTGCTGAACCACCTGGGCGCCCTGCCCAACATTGAGCTGACCTCACCACGCATGTTCACCTACGGTAAACATGGGCCGCAGCCGCACAGAGGCCCCCCTTTTCCTCTCCTCACTTTAATGTGTTGCTACTTCTGTTTCTGCCTTGTTTCTTTTTTTAAATTTATTTTTTTTGTGTGGGTTTTTTTTTTTTGTTTTTTTTTTTTTTTTTTTTTTTGGTTTTTCTCCGGTACCAGGAACCGAACTCACGACCTTGCGCTTACCAGGCAGGCGCTTTGCCACTGAGCTAAATCCCCAGCCCCTTCTTTTTTTAAATTTAAAGTTTATGCCTCTCTGCAAGAGATGGCAGGGCACACATTTAATAACCAGTATGGGGCATCTCTGATGCCATGCCTCACAACTTACTGTGGGGTGGCCAGCACAACCACCCTGCTGAGAGAGGCAGTTGCTACAGCTCACGGAGAAAGATCTTCCCAAGGGCCCCTGACTGGTAGGTGCCAGAACTGGCTGGGAGCCAGGTGGATTGGGTAGCAGAACCTACGCCCTCCCCGCTATGCCATCCTGGCATGTGCTCCTCTGGACTCTTGTGACTGGCAGGCAAAGGTGTGAGGTGGTATGTGAGGGTCAGTGGAACATTAGCAGCTCCCTGAACCTTCAGGTTCCTGGAGGAGAGGAACTGGCTTTCAGGCTTAGGCAAATGCTTTTTAACTTCAGTGGAAGTCCTCTGTTAGCACAAACTCCGGCTTCTGGACTGTTCATCCTTGATTCTTACTTATCTCCCCCTTCACAATATATATGCACATATAAAGAATAAACACACAGAATTATGAATCTGTGCACAAACATTTGGGATGTTTATGACCAAATAAATTGTTTTAATGGGAAACAACCAAAAATTATATCTATAATCTTACCATAACTATAAGTTTCTATTTTTTTATCTTTCTGTTCTGTCTTTCTCTATGTATAGTTTTTATTTAGTTGTAGTCATACTGTGTATCTATCTAAAATATATAGTCATTGTAGTTAATCATATTGAGAACCACACTGGTATTATTACTGTTATAATTTATTTAACCATTCCTCTTTGTGGGGTGTGTAGGTTATTTAAAGCTTTCCAGCATTTTAAACAATGACTTGTTATTATAAATATTGTGTACATAAGAATTTGTTTCTTCTCTTTAATGACTTCTTCGGAGTAAATTTCCAGAGGTGACTTGTTTTCATGTTTTTACACATTGTCAGATTGTCTCCTGGAAGGTCATTCCGGTTGATACTGTCACTGGTAACACACAAGGGTGCTGTGTCCTGCAGGGTGGGCATAGGAAGGTCATGGGTAGGGAAGTTTGAACACACATAACTGCTTCATGCCAGGCATAGGGCTGGCTGCTCCAAGGCTGTTCTCTCTTCTGCGCTCACTCCCACACCTGCAGACACCGCTTTACACAGGCTCTGTCCACAGTTTGGTCAGCGATTCAAAGATAGAGATGAACATCCAGCTTATAGATGACACAGAGGAGGATATGGGAGAAATAGGCAAAGTCTAACACAAATGAAAACAATGGGACCTAAGCATAGGTCTTGTAGGTACAGATAAAGCTCCATGTGTACAAGCAGGACAGGAAGGTGTGGCCTGGCCACAGGGCCAGGCAGAGGCTTGGGAGTGCTATCTAGCAGCAAGAATGCCAACAGCTCAAGATAAGAAATGCCAGGAAGGGCACTGAGGTGTGCCAGCCACAGTGCCAAGGTCTCCATAGAGATAAGTCCTTTAACTTCACAGTGGCCAGGAGACAAGTCACTTCTGCTGAAAAGCTCAGGAAGAGACCACGTGTGGGCAAGGACATCACAGCAGCTAAGAAGGAGAGTTAGATAGGGGCCCTCATCCAGCTGCCCTGGCCTCCAGAGCCCTCTTGCAGCTGGTAGCAGAGCTGTGCCTGATGAGTCCCCAGGGTGCTGTGGGTGGTATAGCAAAGGAGGCCAGAAGGAAGGCATTACCAAGTCCAGGGATCTGGAAGCAGGAAGATTGAGGAGTGCACGCTCTGTGTGGAGTGCATTTTCAGAAAGGGCACCAGGCAAGAGACCAGCTCTGCACCAGAGCCCAGCCCTGTCCACGACTGGCCGTGTGGTCTGGAGCAGTTTGCTCAAGTTCCCAGTCCTTCAGCTACAGTAATTGTGTGTTACTAAGGTCTTGGCGTGCAGTGGAGGCAGAGTATTAGGTTCATTTTTAAATATCTGGAGGCTGTTAATGTCAGTAGGGGTTAGCAATGCTCTGTGTGACCCAGATAAGTGAGCTGTGCAGAGGGAGACAGGCCTATCAACAAACAATTCCAGCACTGTGTGACGCGTGCAGAAAGAGGGCCAGGTGAGGAGTCGCACTAGATTCCCCCTTGGTGATCTGACAAACAGATGGGCTCACAAAGAGTGGGCACTCCTGGGCAGGATAGTGGGCCCTGGGGAGGACAAGCTGAGCAGAAAAGCAGGATGCTCCATTCCCATGAAAAGCATGCATGGCATGGTGGTGCCTGCCTGTAATCTCAGTACTCTGGGAGGCTGAGGCAAGAGGATGGCAAATTCAAGCCCAGCCTAGGCATCTTAGTGTCTCAAAAATAGGCATCTTGGGGCTGGGGATTTAGCTCAGCGGCAAAAGCGCCTGCCTGGCAAGCACAAGGTCGTGAGTTCGGTTCCTGGTACTGGAAAAAAAACAACAACAAAAAAATAGGCATCTTACCTGTCTCAAAAATAAAATTTAAAAGGGCTGGAGATATAGCTCTCTGCAAAGGCCCCAGGTTCAATCCCCAGTACCACCAGAATAAATAACAATAATAACAGTAATAATAGCATGGAGCATCGCTTCCCAGCCTTTTGGCTGAGATCAAGTGTAATAATAGCATGGGGCATATGGACCAATGTCTTAAATCTGAGCACAAAAAAGGCTATGGGGAGGAAATAGGTCCACCTAGAAAGAGCTTCAGCCCCCAATCTGAAAAAGTAATTTCTCTATCTCCCTAATTTGTTTTTGTTGTTACATTTTTGTTTCCTTGGAATTGTAGAAGTAAATTCCTATAGTTTGTTAAAATGTAGTAATTTTCAAGAAAGACAGCTGACCTAGAAAAGATAGGTGATTTTTCTAGCCATGCCATTTAGCTTTTATACACTGGTGCATCTTTTAACTGTTAAAGTGTATCTGTTAATCTTTAGGGGATAAGATCAGCCAAATGTGACCCTGAAGAAGTAGAAAATTCAGAGTTCAGACACTATAATGAGATCTAAAATATAAAATGTCTAAGGTAGCTCAGAAGACACTAAAGTGAGAAAGAACTGGGGTAGGAGATATATAGCTCAGCAGCACTGCACCTGCCTGGCAAGCGCGAGGTCGTGAGTTTGATTCCCAGTACCCCCGCCCCCCAAAAAAGAAAAGAAAGCACTAGTATTTCCTCAGGTGCTATTGATGTGTGTTATATTGGATTAAAATGATCTGTTTTAATAAATGGTTCCCAGGATGGGTGAATAAAGAGTGAGACTCCCTTATCCAAGGTGGCCTCGTGCATGAGAGCAATGCCACGTTTGTAGCTTTTGACTGGTAAACTGAAGCAACTCAATAGGTAACATCCTAGAACAGAAAAACTTTCATCACAGTTAATCAGATATTAAATTCGTGTGTTCGCTGTGTATTATGGACTTTTTATACCTCAGTACTAATGTACATAGTTGGGAAGTTTTATTTCTATAATTCAATATCATTAATTCCTTTTCTTTTTTTTTAGTAGTACTGGTGATTGAATCTAAGACCTTTACAATAAGCTAAATCCCTAGCCCCTTTTTATATTTTACCTTTTTTTTTATTTTAAAGAGAATAGTAAAAAAAAAAAAGAACAATAGCAAAATACAAACAAAACAAAGACATTAAAAATGATACAGGGTTTCAAACCAAATGATAGGGATTAACAGTGGTTGTTATATTACATATTGTTATCTTCAACAAAGTTGTTCAGATTACCAGATGTAAGAATGGAAGATTGATCAAACCATTAAAGAGAATAAGAAAATAATAATTAAAAAAAAATTAGAGACAATACAGAGTTTCACTAGACAGGATGGTAGGAATTCACCAATGGTTGTTATATTGCATATTGTTGTCTTTGCATCAGTTGTTCAGATTACCAGATATAAGCATGCAAAAGGGCTGGGGATATAGCTCAGTGGCACAAGCGCCTGCCTGGAAAGCATAAGATCCTGAGTTCAATTCCCAGTACCAAAAAAAAAAAAAAGCATGCAAAATTGATCAAAAACTATATATAAAAAATAAGCATTAACTGTTCCTTTCAATAAACCACCAGACGTCAGCAGTACAGTTATCCCAGCTATCCTTCTTTCCCTCATCCCAGTTGTTCCTTCCTTTGCACAATTTCTTTCCCTTTCATATTATCTATTGTACATTTTGGGTTTTATTTACTCCTTCATGTTCTTATCATAGGGAGACAATGCGATGTTTATACATTTGAGTCCTATTTATTTCACTTATTAATATGGCCTCTAGTTGCATCCATTTACCTATAAAAGCCTCAAGTTTATCTTTTTTTATAGCTGAGTAATACTCCATTGTATAAAAATACCACAGAGTTTGGTAAATGACTAAGTTGTCTAGGCTGGGCTTGAACTTCGCCTCCTTCTGCATTGGCCTCCCAGAGTGCTGGGATTATAGACATGCGCCACCACATCTCGCTCATTGTTAATTTTTAATTATTGTTGCTTTTGGATAAGGTCTAATTGCTTCTTCAGAGTGTGCTTTTATCTCCCTGCCTTTTTCTTTCAGTTGAATTGTAGGTGGATTCAGTCAGGGTTTACACTGAATTTCTGTATGAGACAGGATGGAGTAGATTGTGTTATAGAGATAACTCCTAAAACCCAGTGGTTTAAAAACAGATTGTTTTCTGCCTTCCTCTCCACATCCAACATGGCAAGCTGAGAGTTCTGGGTCCCCATCACTACCTCCGGACGCAAGGGCCTAACCAGCTCTGAGAATGTGGAAGGAGATTGGCTCTTGAAACTTCTGCCCAGAAGCAATAG